CATGTCCAGCTTCCCATCCACCAGTATCTCCAGGTCTTTTTCAGCAAGGGCTGCACTCAGTCCTTCTGTGCCCCAGCTTCTAGTGGTAGTGGGAGCTGCCTCAACCCAGGAGCAAAATCTTGCATTTGGGTCTGCTGGACTTCATGAGGTTCACCTGCTCAGGCCTGCCTAGGTCACTTGAACACTCCCACCTTTGCATTTGTTACCCTGCATAGGTGGCTCCAGCTCCATGAATGAATGCTCACAAATGCTTCTCCCCTTCCTCAGAACAACTCCACAGCAGCTCAATGTGAGGAAGCCGGCATCCATCCACAGGCGCTGTCTGTGCAGGGTACCCACCACGTGCAGAATCTGCTACGTTCTTTTGCAGGGATACTAGACATTTTAAAGCTAATTTATTTGGATGTCTCAGGCACTAGTCATGAAAATAAATATCAATATCCTACCTGCATCATAGCAGGCACTAAGCTCTCTCATATTAGTCCAAACAGGTGTAGGTCATGTTTTGAGACTTCTCCAGGAAATAAGTCATGGGCACCTGAGCATAGGCCTGATGTTGATAATGAAGCCGGGGTTGGGTTTTCTTTCCTGCTTGGTGACCTATCACCAGGCACCGTGCCATGGATTGGCAAGACCTGCTTTTGCTTGCCCTCCCTTGTCCTCTGCTGCCTCAGCTAATTTAAATCTCAGCTATTCAAGGCAGGGACTTTGCTTTCAAACATGCTCAATGTCACATGTGGTCTGTAAACTATAAACAGTAATTTCCACTGACTCATACTACTGTAGGCAGATGAGTGTCTACAGGTAATGGGTTACAAAAACCGGTGCTGGAGCAGTTGTCTATTGCTGCTGTTCTGGTAATGAGGTTGCAAGAACCCTAGCAATCACGAGTCAACCGAGTAAGGGACCGAGAAAGTTGCTATAAATACCACCATCTCACAGAGGAAATAAAAATGGCAAATGGAAACTTACAGCAGTGATTTAAGCTCTGGAAGAGACAAGTGAATTATCTGCCTACTTGATAGCTAGGGGAAAAAAATGAAAATTCCAACTAGAAATGATCATTTCCCTCTACCACCTGAAGGCTGGAGCATGGGCTGCAGCCAGGCAGTTCCTGCCTGTCAAAGATTTTTTAAATATTTTTTCATTATTATGTTGTGGTAAGATGTTAGAGAGTCTGACATCTTGAAACAGGTTGCCCAAGGAGGCTGTGGATGCCCCATCCCTGGGGGCATTCAAGGCCAGGCTGGATGAGGCTCTGGGCAGCCTGGTCTGTTTGGCTGGTGACCCTGCACATAGGAGGGGGGTTGAAATCAGATGATAGCTGTGGTTCTTTTCAACCCAGGCCCTTCTATTATTCTATTCTGTAAATCTGGAAACCTACCTGGCTGATTTTCAAGCGTGCCATTCACAATGCCAGTTGCAGTGGCTTGGAGTTCTGATGTGTAATGAATTAATCACAGCCTTGATTTGCTCTGAACATAAACTGCAAAGCTGTGATTTTTTTTCCCCCTCTTTACACGTGTGCGTGTTTTGGTATGGTTTTGTTTGTTCATATCCAGCCTTGCTCTGCCTCTGCAATTAAGAAATGTTTTTGTTTGGTTTTTTTTAACCTGCCTGGAGGCCTCCTGCCCACGGTGCGTGTGGCCACTGCTGATACGGAAACAAACAGGTGGCCTGCCAGCCAGGCTCATGTAGTTGCAGAACTGCAGGAGCTGCCACAGGAACCACAGGGCTGGTGTCACAACCTAGCCAGTGTTCAGGGAGGAGCTGCTGCACAGCTCTCTTCATCCAGCATTAGCAGCACAGAGAGGTGCCTGCTTGTTCCAGGTGTAGCTGGGCTATGTCCAGCAGGCAGCTAACTTCTGAGAGATTCCATGCTCTTTCTAGGCATAGCAGTTTTGTTTTTTCTGGGCAATCTGAGGGTCTGTGTGATGCAAATCTGTCCATGAAGAAGTGCACAGGTTGGGAGATGCTGGTCTGTGTTGTAGCACTCCTATCGCTGGCGCAGAGGAAGAGTGACTGCTGGAATGACTGCCACGGCACTGATGTTTTGCACCACTGTTCATTTATTTATTTATTTTGCCTGGGGTGACAGCTGTGGAAACAAAAAAAAAAGATTTCTGCAGGCTTTACTGGTATTGGGATTATTCTCTTGAGTCTTAGTCTAAGGCACGCTCACTTGATTGCAGTATATGGTAAAAAGGGGTGATGTTTCTTAAAGGAGGAAAAAGGTTTTGATCGGGCTTTTCCTTTGATCGAAGCGTTAATTGGCAATCTGTGCCTCCCTCTTTCCTGCTGCTTTTGGGTATTTTCCACCTCCTTCTTTCTGCCCAACCAGTTCTCTCATGTCAGTTTCTTTTTTTGTCTGATTTATTCTGTCCTTCACACTATTTTTTCCCAAAGGGAAGATAAAAAGCTGATTCCTTTAAAATCCCATTTCAAAGCATGTTCCTATTTCTTCAACTTTTCTACCAAAGCAAGCTTACAAGCAATAGAACAAAAGCTGGTGGTTTCTCTGATTTTTCCCTTTTTCCATTCAATCCTACAGGGCAAATCTGTACACGCTGGCCTCTTTGCAGGCTGACAACAGGAGGACAATGGTTCATGCCATTAGAGGATGGAAACAGACTTAAGATGTGCAAGCAAATCTGATGTACTTGGTAGTAACCTTGGTAGTAACCTTGGTAGTGGGGAGAAAAGTTTGCAGGTGCAGGTTTCCTTGCATTCAGCAGGCTATATTGTACTCATTTCTTGGGTTAGAGGAGAAGTAAGCTAAGCAAGAGATCTAAATTTCCATTGGATAACAGCGGCTTCTTTGCAGTAAATGCCAAAGACAATGTATCAGGGACTGATAACAAGGGCACATGCTGTGGAATTGCATCCAAGAAATAAACAGCAGTGTCTTGCCAGTGCTGTGTATGATAAATGCGTTACCTGCAACTGGAAGCAGATTTCACTCTGGTGAAAAGATTGAGCAAAGTTCTTAGAATTGCTTTGAAAAACAATGTGGCATGACCTGGAAGTAGTTTCAGTTCCTCTAGTATTTTTACAAGTGCAGGTACAGGGCAATGGGAGAGTACAGATCTCCCTGTGCTGTGGGGTTGGCCAAGCAGGTCGACAACTCTGACAGCCAGAAGCACAAAGAAAATCTCCAGAGTACTGCAGTAGCTTCACAAGCACTGAAGCTACCTGAGAATATTGCTTACAAAAAGCAAGTTCAAAGAAACCAGAGGCTTGCCGAAGACTGCAAATCATTAACTTGATCTTTTGTGATAAGAATCAGTCATACGCACATAATAGAAATGGCTTGACTGGATGATGTGTGGTGGTTTAACAGGTAGCTTAATCCCAGAGCAGATCAAACTTGTGAACTCTAGAACCTATCAGTCTTCAAAGATTACCTCGAGGTGTACATTTCCTAAAGCAAGAAATTTTGCCTGCTCTGGAGAAACGATAACTGCAACCACATTGCTGGACAGGAATCAGAAGGAGAAACAGTAATTGGCCCTAAGTTGCTGGAAGTTTAATTGCAAAAAATGCTCCCTGTCTGGCTAAAAAGTGAAAATATTCCTGAAAACGCATATTCAGTAAGGTAGTAATGCTACTTACGGGTGAAGGACTGCCTCTGAATAAAGGCAAAATATAACAGTGCTGGAGCAGTGCGGTGATTCCTGAGCAACCCTTCTCTGCTTTCTCGGAACAGCAGATCTTTGCCTTGTGCACTCAGCAGTTCTGCTCCTCCATAGAGGGCCTGGGAAAGAAGGCAGCTGCCGTGAGGTGGGAGGTGTGGGATAGGGCTGTGGTATCGGGTTTTCTGGCAGAGGAGGAAAGGCTGTACTGCAGTGCTGGGAGGTGGAAGGTTGCAGGAGGAAGGTATGTGGAATGCCAGAGTAAGTTCAGAAAAGTCTTAAAATACTGTCATTTTCACAATGGCTCTGCATCCCAGTTTCAGGATAAGACCTTCAAAATTCAAGGAGTGAGCTTTCTGGAATAAGGACTGGAGTGTGCCTACTATTAGAAGAAAAAATAGTTTCATTAGAAATCAAAACGTACTCTTAATTATCATTCAAAGTGCAGTAAGTAGCAGAGAAAAAATACATTCATTGCATCGGAGGAGGTTTTGGTGGAACTACATTTTCCAACTCACAAGCACAACATTCTTGTATGAAGCATTTTCCCATAAGAGTTCCATTCCCTGGCCCTGGAGCAGATCTCCTGGGGCTGGGTGCAATGGTGCAACATGGTTGGACAGGCAGCCAGGCAAAGGGTCAGACAAGTGCATGCTTTGTGATTGTAGCTTCACTTCATCAAAGAGGAGGACTTGTTACCCTAGTATCAAAGGTTATCTTGTAACATGAACTTCCATGGTAAACATCAGCTTCAATACAACTTTTCAGGAGACAAAAATTTAGAATGGGTGTTCTTGCATCACAAGACGAAGTGGACATCCCTGTTTGTTTCTAACAGATATTTACAAGTTTTAGCACTGATCGTTCCAGTGCAAAGGAAATGGCAGCCCATTCCCTCATCCTGCCTGCTTTCAGTCATGCTCACTTGAGGGTGTTTTCCATGGCACTTGATGAGAGGGAGGCCTCAGCCTTCCAAACTACAGCACCCTCAAGGCTATTGTAAATCTATAGCAGTTCTGACATCTGAGAGCGAAGAGCAAGCTGCTCTAGAGTGATAGTTAGTGTAAGCAGATGTACCACATAAAAAGAACTGTGGGTACTAAATGAAATCCAAGATCCTCTTGGTCCCAAGTTTAACTTATATCTATTTAAATTAGACAGCAAAGACTTCCTTTTACCACTGGTTTGAGTAAAATATTTTTATTTCAAAAAATATGTTGTTTGATTTGTGAACAGTTATTTATTCAGGGCAAAATCAGTTGTGACACGTAATGGGCCACCAGTTATGAATAGTTCATTTTGGATGTGGTTTTACTTTTTTTTTTTTTTTTTTTTTTTCCAAATAACTACAGCAATTACATTAAACAGTTAAATCAGCTTGACCTGTATGAAGACAAAAATCTGATTTCAGCAGTGTTTTCAGTGATCTTCTTGTTTCCTGCGTGCTCATTGCAAAACTACTGCAGTAGCCTTGGGACTCTTGGCTGGTAGCTGGGCTACGTATGTATATACTACCTGCTTTTGCACCACAGTCAGCCTTCTCTGCCCCAGCAAGCAGCCTTGGTTTGATCTGAACTGAGCTGCTACAACCACCCCTGCCTGTGTGCTGGCAGCCTCCAGCACCTGGGCCATCAGCCCAGCCTGAGTTCATCGCGATAAGGGCATGCGGCATAGCTGGAAGCTGCAGAGATCGCCAGAACCCGTCCCTGCTGCAGGCGAGCGTTTCTGGAGGATATGCTGAGCTTGGGAGTGCAGGAAATCTCCTTCTAGGAATACCCAGAAGATCACTGCGATAGCACTCCAGCAGACAGAGTACATGTGGTATTTTGACCTGCACAGTGCTCTGGGAGCTGTTTCACCCAGCTATACATGGGGTAGCTGATGATCTCTCCAGCACAAGGGACTAGTAAAGAAGCTATTGTTCAGCTTCAGGGGGTTTGCTTGTTTGTTTGGGGAAGAACAGCAAGGCAGGCAGCTGGGTGTGATAAGTATTTCAGTCACGCTGCTTTAGTCACTACCATGTGCAGATCATTATTTCTTTCCCAATTCTCCTCTACTGCCAGCATGTTATGTAAATCCCTTTCTGATTTCAGTTCTTATGTCCCTACTAGCTCTTCTCATCTGGGACACAGGGGATCAAGACAGCTTGTTGACCAGGAACCACTCACCTGACTGCCATTATCCTAAAGCTTGAAGCTTTGCAGGAATCCAAGAACTGCCAACATGCCTTTCATGTCTCATAATGATTACTGCAACAGACCTCTTAAGAAATGAACATAGAACACCTATGCTTGCTACATAAAAGGGGGAAGGTTGGAGAAGAAAATAATTCAGAAAAACAGAAGGAAAAAGTTGTTCTCCTTGGCTATTGAAGTTTTTCCTTCCTGCTGCTTTCTGTAAAAGCAGAAGGACTGACTGAATGGAAATCACACGAAGAAGTCTCCAGATTTTTTTTTAATCACTGCGTAGCCTACGCATCCTCTTCCCTCCTCTCTCCCTAAGGTGAATATGACACAACCAGAAAATCCAGCAGATGAGTACTCAAGCACAGTAAGAAAGTCTGTCCAGGCTGCAGCCTCGCTATCTGCTCTGCTAAAGCTTTATGCCTTCTCTTAATGGCTTTACGCCCTCTCCTAAAACAGCCTGCATCTCTTTTGTGTGTACCTTGTATGCTTTGGGAACAATTACCTTTCAAGAAGATCAAAAGGACACCTCTAATATCAGCCACTTGCATTGCAATATTACCAATTCATACATTTGTTTCCGTGTTTAAATGACTACTTTCACAATTTGGTTCCGCGCTTTGTTCATACTGAGTTATCTCAACCCACAATATTGTTATTGCAAACGTCTGTTGAAAGATTTAAATGAACAATTGAGGAAGCAGAAAACCACAGCTGGTCCTATCGCTTGGACACTTTAATCTACTTGTATTTGATTTTCTTCTCTAAACACATCACTGTTGTGTTGATGCTTCTTCTAAGGATTAATTAGCAAAGCAATTAACATGTTTTAACCTTTCTGTTTACTTACCCATCCCTAAGGACATACGTACCTTGGTCAGTTTGTGCTTCAAAATTACACTTTTTGATGTTGTTTTGTCAAGGTCAGATTAATTAAATACTGCTTTACATACAGCCAAAGTTTGGACTGGAGAGCTTCAACATTTTTTTCAGTGTTCAATTTCCAGTTCCACAGTCACCGAGAAAACAGTTTCATAGCAAACCATTCCCGTGTGTCAGGAATGCACTTCCTTAGTGGATGAGATCACATGAGACAAATACAAATCAAACAGCAAACAGCTCAGGAGGGCAAACTTCAGTGCCTGCCGGCATACTTAAAAGGAATCAAAACCTACTGCTGTGGCAATACTTTGCTGAGTTATAATCAGTTCGCAGGGACTTCACTTTTGAATGTTTTTTCTCAGAGATAAATTCATGACACTTCACTGCCCCAGGAACAAAACCAGAGCGGACGCTACCTGGATTGTCAATCACAAGGCTGTAAAGTGGCCACTTAGCCAAAAGGCAGTACAGATTTCTCCAATTTACCAAGGGGATTCCTCATTAATCGGCAAGGGCTTTTCAAATGTTTAGTAATCTGTGATCGTAACCGTGACCAATCAGGAGCATATCAAGCGGTTTTTAAAGGCCCCCTACCAACGTGTTCAACCTTCATTTTACTAGACATTAGCTGCAGATGATTGTTTTCATCCATGCCCTCGCCCCATGCTGATTCTGAGAGCGATACCGCATTGTGAAAGACGGATTTATCTCTGTCTGCTTTATCTCCATGCTGCTGACATTTGAGCTTTTCAAGCTTTGCCATATTCTGCAGTAGATATCTATAAATAGGCTCTATTACATTATCAATCTCCTCTTTTGTGTTTAATTAATATTCTACAAAAGATAACACATACACCACCCTGTATGTAAAGAATGAAGTCGATGTCTCTGCTTGCTGCATTTTTAGTCCACATCCCGCACCAACTTCTGCTGGTTGGACTTGGTGGCCTCTTCCAAGCTTAAGGATGCCTGTGATTCCACACTGCCTTTCCTCGGATAAGCCACTTGTCAGCTCTCTCCCCGTCCGTGCTGTGGCAGCTGTTAGCTCAGCACGCACACTTTCTTCTCATGTCCTCACACCTTCACCCCGCAGCACCACAGTCAAAGTGTCACCAAAGTCCGATCCCGACTCAATCCCATTCCAGAACTAATTTCTGGATTCTTTTCTTACAGATTCTTTGCTCTCCCTTTGACAGCTGCCTAATCCCTGCCCGCAGCCCTGCTCCCATTTCCGCCTACTCCTCGCTCCAATCTCATCTCCTGCATTATCTTCACACCCTTCCGCACGCCCTCTTGCCCAGTGCTTTTGTCTGATCCTAATCTCTCCGAGGCCATAACGCTGTATACGCTGCAAACTCCTCTCTACAGGTCAGAGGCTGCACAGCATTTGCAACGTAAATCATTTCAGGGAGTTCCTTTCAGTCATAAACAGCGAAGGAAATATTGAACGTAAGCAGACATACTAAGTCAAAGGCATGGAATCATTTTATTTGAGCTCCAGGATGTTTTTGTTTTAATTTATCTTTTATTATTATGCTTTGAAACCACGCTTTTACACACACACACAGATATATATATACATATTTTTGTTTTTCCCCGTGAAGAGCTGCCCTCAGGTATCAGAGCACGAATGCCCTTTACTTCTTTACCATGAGAGTGGAGAGGTGCTGGATGGAACAGGCTGCCCAGAGAGGTTGTGGATGCCCTATTCCTAGGCCAGTCTTCAAGGCCAGACTGGATAGGGCCCTGGGCAGCCTGGTCTAGTATTAAATGGAGAGGTTGGTGACCCTGCACGTGGCAGGGCGGTTGGGGATTCCTATCTTTAAGGTCCCTCCCAACCCAGGCCATTCTGCGATTCTGTCACTCTACGAACGCCACCTCAGCCGCACGCCCTCTCCTCACGGAGCCACGCCCCCTCCTTTCGGCGGGAAGCCCCACGTGACGAGAAGGGGCGGGGCCTACCTCACGCCTCGCCTCACCCACCCTAGGCGGGGACCGTAGGGGGCGCCCTCCCGCACCCCATCGTCTCCGTAGGAACTTTCTCTTCTCCGCCGCCCTTTGCCTCCAACGGTGACCCCGCAAACAGCCTGCGGCTCCAATCTCCGAGCACCGTCCCGCCCCTCGGCCAATCCGCGAGCTTCTTCCCCTGGCTCACTGGCCAATCCCCGCGCTCGAGGCCGCGCCCGCCCCGCCCACCGGCCAATCAGGGCGCGGAGTGGCGGCCGCCTTCTCCTCCTCCCTCCTCCTCCTCTCTGGCCCCGTGGCGCCGCGGCGCAGGCGGGTACCGGCTGTGCTCCCGCTGTCCGCGCCGGGCCGCGCCGCGCTCGGCGCCTCCCGCAGCCCCGGGGGCCGCGTCACCGCCCGCCACCCCCCTCCCCAGCGGCAAGCCCGGCCCGAGCCATGCTGCTCCTGGCGGCCGCCTTCATCGTGGCCGTCGTCCTTCTCCTCTACATGGTGTCGCCGCTCATCAGCCCCAAGCCCCTCAAGCTGCCCGGCGCGCACGTCGTGGTGAGTCGAGCGATGCCTCTCCCCGCCCCGATCCCGGCCGCTGCTGGCCGACCGACCGCGGGGGAGCGGTCCGGCTGGGCGGGATGAGGGAGCGGGGAGGCCGCGGCCGCCGTGTCCCGGCAAAGGCCCGGCTGCGTCTGCCGGGGTGCTGGAGCGCGGCCCTCCGCGGGAGGGGGAAGGCGCGGGCTGAAAGGAGAGCCGGGGCGAGGAAACGGGCGGGCTGACTCGAAGGGAAGCGGGCAGACGGCACGCAGCGCGGGTATCCGTGTCCACGAGCAACGTTTTGCTTGTCTGTAATCAGCGTGGTAGGAGCGAGCCTTTTTGGGGGGGTTATCTGGGAAAATGTAGCTTTTGTTTGAACAGTACCCCAGGTGCGTACCGCCGAAAGCTGGACGGCTGCAGGATGGGGAGCGACAGCCGGGGGCCTGCGGGTGCGGCACGTGGGTGCGTGAGAGCGAGTCGGGACAGCGGTGCTCCTTCAGTCGGATGGCGGGACTAGCTGTAGTTCGCCCGGGTGTGCTCTGCGTAGGACAGCTGTGCTGTTTGCTTGTTGAATCTGCTTGCGGATCGCCCTCCTTACAGCAGGGCTTGGGGTAATGCAGCAGTTAGACTTTTGAGGTGCGAAGGGATTGACAGCTGCTCGGCTCTGGGGATATGTATATATATATATATGTATGTATGATATATGTATATATATATATTTTAGCTCCCTGCGGTGCCTTGTTTTTTTGTTTGCATTTTTGTCTGCCTATTTTAGGACTGCTCTTTGCAGGTAGAGCTGTCCATGCTTCAAGCTGTCCAAGTTACGACAGTGTTCCTGAGTTACTTGGTGCAGTGGGTATTGCTGGGTACTGTAACTGGCTTTACAGCATCATGAGATATTAGACCGTGAGTGAAGGCTCTCTCTTTGAGTCTCTTCCCACAGCAGTAATGCTTGCTAAGCAGGAATCCTTCTGTACTGCGTAAAAGCAAAGGTGAAACAGGATAAGGGTCTTCTGCAATGCTCACGTGAAAATAAAATAATAAACAATAAAGTGGTGTATTCCATTCCAGAATATTGTTCACTTGTTTGTTTTTAACCTGATTATCCCAAATGTTGTCTTTTCTTCATGTCATTACGCTTTTTTCAAAGCTACTCTGCTGGTTCTTCGGTTTTCAAAGAACCACTTCAGTTGGCTCACATAGAAAAAGACAAAGAATAATCTCGTGGGAGAAACCTTCCCTCACAACAGCTACTGCTAATTATATTAGCCACGTAAGCTGAATTTGACACAAGTGAAGGTCTCAAAATGGCTATTCATAGGACTATAGAATGGCCTGGGTTGAAAAGGATGTCAGTGATCCAACTAGTTTCAACCCCCTGCTATGTGCAGGGTCGCCAACCACCAGACCAGGCTGCCCACAGCCACATCCAGCCTGGCCTTGAATGCCTCCGTGGTTGGAGCATCCACAACCTCCTTGGGCAACCTGTTCCAGTGCATCACCACCCTCTGGAGGATTAACTGTATTGATACACCAATAGAAGAAAGACTGTAGGTATTTATCAGCATCACCTTTCTCATGGTTTTGTGCAAACCATTGACAACCTTACAAATCTGTGGGTGATGAGCTTCAGTGGCATTGCTGCTGGGAGAAGCACTTGTTTGACTTTGGCTTCAGTTATACTCTGAAAACATTCATGCAAACAAATGAAGTGTGGAGCATTTGTTTCAGAATTTTAGTTTTTGGATATAGAGGTGCTGCTAATAACCCTGATGCTGTTAAACTTGCATGTTTGGATTTCAAATGTTTGGGTGAATTGTGTAAGGAAAAATACTGGATGATAGTTCTGTAAATTTGAAACTGTGCTCATGGAGTCTTTACGCATCACATGTGCAATGTGAATTCTTGCATCATATAATGGGAGTGAGTGCTCTCTGCTACTGAGATTATCAGAAGATTTAATGAAAATACTCAGGACTCCAGCACCGTTCCAAGAATTCCTTGAAGTGTTTTCACAGAAGAGGTCAAAATCCGTTTATATGATCTGTATATGTAATTCCTCCTTTGCGTGTGCAAGAGAATACCTGTAGTATTTCTTAAAGAAGGTCATTGGATGTGTTTGGACACAATTGTGTATATTGTTTCCTAGCAGTTACTTGTTGAAATCTCAATTTAAATCAGCATTTTTTTTCGCAGTCAATCATTTGTAGAGGCTGTTTCTCTGTGCTCCTAACAGTTGTAGTGGTTAATATAGCTAGGTGTTCAAGCTATGAGGACAGGAATCTGAGGCAGAAAATGTGTGGTTATTTTTTGTTGTTGTTGTTGGGGTTTTTTTCCCTCTTGTCCTCTCCTGGAGTCACTTCTGTGATGGAAGTGCTTGCTGTGTAACATGAGGTATGCTTTAGAGAGGGATCGTGACCACAGGAGTCTCTTCTAGTCAGTGAGGAATGGAACTCCACAGAACTCCAAATTACTGATCTCATCTTGTGGGGGGGTTTTTCTGTTCCGTATCTGCTGTGTGTTTTGGTAACCTCAGAGGGCACTGTTAAATAGAAAGGACTTTGCAGCTATCAGGTTGATTCGAGCATCAGGTTTTGCTATGTAGTAAAACAAAATGCTTTTATATGTATGTTTGCTTTTGTGTGCTAACTATGGCAGGAATGTAAGGATGTTTGCTGCTTGTGATTGTCTTCCTTTCAGTTTGAGCAGAGCCTTTCACTTGGACTTAGTTGAGCTTCAGCATACCTGAGCTAAAGGTGTAAGGGCCATCTCACGACTAGGAGTAGTTTCAGCAGTTCTGTGCAGAGCCCATCAGATAACGGCAGCAGGCTCTGGGTGTTCAGGAGTTCACCCATCTCTGTGTCTCAGCTTTGTAGCTCTTGCACTGGGAGCACTGTGACCTGTGGCTTGGATGCATCAAGAGGTTCAGCAGGAGGTCATTTGGAGTCCAGTCAGGCACACCAGGCAATCGGAGTAGGTTACAGGGATGTTCTGTTTCAGTGGAACTAAATACCTGCTGTTAGAGCACTGTCTAGAAGCACGAAGCCAGCTTGCATCCTGTGCTGCTGCTAAGTGAAAGCTAACAAGCCCTGCTGGAAAGAGCATATCAGGTCTTCATTTTGACTGCTTCTGATGATAGTTGTGGTGATTTGGAATTGCACTTACTCATTGATCGTTGAGTTGTCCTTACTGTTACGCTGCACCTCATGGTGCATGTTAGTAACAACCTCCAACGTGTTAGTAACAGCCTTCCACCTAAACACTGAAGTTCCCAGCTAACTGATTCTGCCTTTTGTCACTGACCTATCTGACATGAGCCCATATCTAACGTTCTTGGGTATGTCTGTAAAATAAAAACTTCCTTTTCTTGCTCGACTTCAGACCTCGTCTTTCTGAAGTGAACGTTAGTGTTGTCTGACAATCCAGAGGCTATATACCTTCAAAGAATTCCTCAAACACTGGTGTAGTTGACCAGTTCATGACACTTAGCAATTTGTACAGGTGGCAATCAGCTGTGCCTCAGTGCTGTGCCAGAAGTGAGAATTGGAGCAATCTTCCACATGCGTTCATTAGTTCCTGTGCTGATGTATCAACTGCTGCTGAAAATCTGTAAAAGGTCATCTGTGGAACTGAAGTTTGCTTGAATACATCAAACTGAATCTCTTGATCCTTCTAGAGATTTATTGGACTCTTGAAAGATGCTTTGGGAATAAAAAAAATTTAACTCTTGTGAAGAATTAAATGATGCTGAGATTCTGCTGGAGTCCCCAAACATTAACACTCATCCTTTACTCAGAATGCAGGAGGAAGTTTTTCACTCAGAGGGTGGTGATGCACTGGAACAGGTTGCCCAAGGAGGTTGTGGATGCCCCATCCCTGGAGGCATTCAAGGCCAGGCTGGATGTGGCTCTGGGCAACCTGGTCTGGTGATTGGAGATCCTGCACGTAGCAGGGGGTTGAAACGAGATGATCTTTGTGGTCCTTTTCAACCCAGACCATTCTATAATCTGCAGAACAGAACAAGCATCTTGAAGTCACCCACAAAGGTTGGTGTAGTGAAGAGTCAATTAGAAGATGATTTGAAGTGACTTTCTCTAATAGAGGAAGTCTATGAAGCTCTGTATAAGCTGGAGTTAGTCTTTGTAAGTTCTTGACCCATTACAGCAGACAAATTAGACAAAAAATGTAGACTATGTTGAAAATAAGTTTTCTGAAGTTACACGATCACCCTTGGTGTACTGAGCTGTTTTGTTTGAAGGTTTGTGATGAGACATTCATAAGAAAGAAGAGTTTGGTGACTCATGGGAGCGTACTTCTAACTCTTTTGACTTTACTGCCTCCAGGAATATGAAAGAATTTTGGAGGTAGTAAGTCTGAAAACAAAACTGAGGCATGTGCAGATGAGACTGGGAGCCTTTGCTCTTCCACTGATTGGCTCAGCGTGTTCCATTTCTCATAGTTGAAATAGAGGTGATACCTTATTTTCTCTGAAGTCTTGACAAAGAGCAGAAGTAACAACTTCCAGAGGAATATGAATCTCTTTTTCAAATATTTAAGCCTGTGTTTCAGAACTCACTTCATCAATAAAGCATTCCGGTATTTTCTCAGTGATATGCTCTTAGAAGAAGATTCAACAAATTTTGCCATACAAGGAAAATACAACTCTGTATTGAAGGACCAAAGGCATGTGCAGACACTGGGTTTAAATGAACAAATCACCTGGAAGTCATGTCAGGCAGAGGCTTTTATCTTTATCAAGAAGGGCAGTTGGGTCACCATCTATGTTTTGTTTTAAATGGAGTTTGCAAATAGATTTTTCATGAGGGCAGTGAGGGGACGTTAAGGTGACTTTAACCTGTTTATTAGTATGGGGCTGTAGCCATCACCTTGTGTTTTCTGCAGTCAGACTGGTTATTTCCTGCTTGCATGGAAGACCACTGAGAATTATGGTTTAGAGGAAGAAGGAAAGGCTTGTGGAGGCTTAAAACTGGGATCCCCACAGAAAGGCATTGAGGGATGGCACAGGCAGTTCAGTATCCAGATGCGAATTGTGAGACGTGCTCTACAGCAGATCAGCTGTCAAATCAAGGATGTTTATTTAATAAAAAAGAAGATAACTTTTAAAATTGTGTTTGTTTACATGATGTTTTTGGCAGACTGGCTGTGATTGCTCGCTTTATGAATTTTTGGAGGGGCAGTATGTAATTGTGTTCTTAATAGTGATTTCAAACTTGTAACTATTACTGTACTTCAAAAATAAGTTAATCAAAGTGAGAGTGGTCTGAGTGAGCCTGACAAAAGAAACATGAAGAAATACCACCAAGGTAAAGCTGATATTTGGGGCAGAAAGAGTTGCCTGACAGGGCGGTGAGATTTTGTTTTTTCATTCATACTGAGTAAGAAAACTAACTTCTGTATATCTTGTGTATTCATAATTCACTGGATAATATTTGAATCTCAGTACACTATTAGAGTTTTGATTTGATTTTTATTGTGGTATAGGAGTATGGATGACAATAATGGACTAACTGACTTTCACATAACTTCTAGGTAACTGGAGGCTCCAGTGGAATTGGAAAATGTATTGCTATTGAATGTTATAAGCAAGGTGCTTTCATAACACTGATTGCAAGAGATGAGGTAAGCATATTTGTATTTTTGCTGGCTACACTATATTAATGAAATTGGTATGGCTGAGGAGTAATTTGGGAATTGATAATTACTCATTCTTTTTTTCACTGTATGCTGTAAGGTGGTCCTAATAATTGAAATTAATGTATTTTCAGGGTAGAGATGGCTGCCTTTTTAAGAGGTGTATCCAAACATAAGATTTGTGATGGGCTTGCATTAAAACTCTTCTGTTGCTATCACATGGAGTTGATGTTTTGGTTGTATATTCATAAATCTCTAAGATGAATATAGGAAAGTGTTATCATTAGCTGATGATAATGTTCTTGTTTTTAGAGAAAGTTTCTAGGGCTTCTTGAAATACTGAAGACTAATATGTGCTGCTTTTGCTGTTCTTGTTATCCATTTCAGAACAAGCTGTTACAGACAAAGAAGGAAATAGAAAAGTACTCTGTTAATGACAAGCAGGTAAGATCACTGTTACCTGTAACTGTTGTGTTTCAAGATAGTCACTTCAGCATAACTCTAGTAGTCTGGTTTTTAAAACCAAGCTCACAAATAGGTGAGGCCTCACTTGAATTCAAACAATTCCAATCTGTCCATATGTGATGTTCCAAACTCTGGTACATTTGATGTTGCCTGGTTAGTACACTAACTTTTTTCTCAGAGAAAAAGATTGGTATCTTTGGCTGTAGGTGTAACAGAATTTTTTTGATAGCTGCAGTTTGCTGTCACTTGATAAGTGTTTGTATTGTTCAAGATTGAGGAGAATAACCTACTTTTTTCAAGTCTCTCTTCGAGAGATCATAAATGCAGCAATTGTAATGGGGAATAAATCTAGGTATTTGTTTTCAGAATTTGTTCCCTATGTTGTGCTGTGTATTGCTGTTTCCCTGGCAAAGCACTGAGGTTTCTAAACACTGAAGGTACTTCAGTAAATAAATAGTGTACTTATGCTTAATGCACTGTTTTAATGCATTAATGCTTGCTGGACTACTAGCTGTTAAAGTAGGGGCAGCTTTCTGTGTTCAAAAAGCACAATTTCGAGATGAAATATTACCATGTTTTTTTTCTTGATACTCATAATTGAAAGGAAAAGGGAAACAGCATTGAGAACATTGCATCTTTGATTTCCTCTTTCTCATGTTCCAGAAGCTGATTCTTACTTTCATTGTTACAAATGCAAGCAATTTGTTTGTGATAAGGAATTTAGAGTCTATTGGATGTAATAAGTCACTTCTTTAGTCTGGTAAATTAGGAAGTTTGATATTCTCTTGAAAAGAAGCAATGGAGGAAGATGAACACTGGGGAGCTAGTACTATAATACAGTAGTACTGTGGTACAATAATGCTAGTACTAGCTGATATAAATGAAGATATCAAGCAAACTCTGATTCTGTCTTTGCTCATTCCTGTCAAATGGCTCAAGGTGATCTTTCTGTGCACGTTGTCTTACTCAGATCAAATTTATTTTGAAATATTAATCATGTGAGGTGAGGAGGAGCAACGTTTTGTCCCCTTTTAAAACAAATAAATCCCGGTAACAGTTTTCCTTTAGCTGCTTGGTTGACAACCCTGCACATAGCGGGGGGCTGAAACGAGATGATCATCGTGGCCCTTTTCAACCCAGGCCTTTCTATGGTTCCATGCTCTGGTCTTTTCCCAGAGTTGTGATGAATTTTGTCAAACACTGTCAAAATGCTCTTGTTAAAAATCTGTCCAAGCTTGACAGATGTGGGCTTACACTTTTATTTTCTGAAGAAGAATACTAGGTATACCTTCAAGAGTCTCAGTTAAAATTTCACTAAGTTCAAGACTGAACAAGCTTCAGTGTGGGCTAAACAGGATTGTTTTAACACTAGCAAATTTAGACTTGTCTGTACTTCCACTGGCTGTAGTGGGAGTGCCCTCGTGTATCTATTGTTGAGTTGTAGTCATTGTCGCAGGGAAGACTGCTAAATTCAAAGAATACAAACAGAAAAAGCAGAGTGTCTGGAACAGCAGATAAGAAGCTGACAAATGAGGGCAGCTGAACAGACAGAGGCTGTACAAGAAGATTGCTGAAAGCATGGAGTTGTCTGGGATGGATTGGCAGACTACAGAGGCTGTTACATTTGCAAGATGTCAAGCTAGGGAGCAAAAATCCAGAGGAAATACCAGTTTTTACCTGATTATATGCTGTATGCATTCTGCTCACGTATGTATATGTAATACTAAGTAGCATTGAGAACCAGGATTGTGGTGTCTATATACCTTTAGGTGTTTGATTTGGCGTGTTTTCTCTGAAAGACATTTATATGTGATTTATTTAGAATGTTGACAGTGCAGCCTGTACAAATAAAGGTGTGCAGTGGAATGAAATACTTGCCCATGATTTTTTTTTTTTTTTTGGAAATTTTTAAAAACCCCTTTCCTAGTATGGAATATTCCTAGCTACTTCGCTGGGAGTGGAATTTAGCTTTTATTGAGAAATAAATGCTTCAGGAATGATCAGACAATGCTCTATTAGAACAAAACGTGAGGAACTGGAATGAGGATATTGGACTTCCTGGCAGCATAATCTGTTTATTAGGACCACATTCACAGTGCATGCTCTGGACTGGAGATAATCAACTTAATGTAGCAGAAAGGAAATACAATAATAGAAGCAAAAAGATGAATTGTATAACGTGGTGTTAGCCAATACAAGCATTGCTAGTTCCTGAGTATATTGTTCACAGTATGATTAACTGATCTGTGGCCCGATGTCCAATTTTCATATGGAACTGTGATTATTTTTTTTTTTAACCTTGCTGATCTTGTGAAGGCATCCAGATAGTAAATCAGTGTTATCTTAGCTCAGCTGTTATTGTTGTTCTCAAACTTACGGTAAAGATAAATATTTCTAAAATCTACAAATGCCCTGAGGGGAGATGCTTGCTGGCCAACCAATAACTTGCACCACAAGATTACTCTGACGTCCAGCTATGCACAGTGCTGGAAGGCAGGAATAGCCAACCTGCTGCACAGGAATGGCAAGCAGATTCTGTTTATGTAGCTGGGAAGTGTTGCAGTCTGACCAGAGGCAAAACTGACAAATGACTGGCTGCCAAAGCAGTTAGTTACACTTTGGTAAGCTTTTCTTCATTTTTGTTGGCATGCTTCATGACAAGTGACCCTGATGACACTCGTTAGAAACTGGCGATGACTTTATTTCACCTGAAACCAGCTTTAAATGAATTGAACAAAGTAAAGTAAGGCGTAGAAATCGGGATGAGAATGTAGCAGTCTCTACTTTTATTATGGTATGTGATTGCTTCTCATTTCAAGATACTGAGTTGCCCCTGAATGTTGCTGATTGTTTAGCAGAGAGGATAGTCTCTTTGTAAATCCCTGGCCAAGTTGGAGTTGGCTGTGATCTTAGAGTTGGTGATACCCCAAAGTCAGTGCTTCCTTTGGCTGGAAGTTGACTGGACGATGTCTCCAAAACTTAGATTCTGAGATGATGTTGCTAAATGTAACCAGCACTTTTAAAGAAAAGCAATACCTAACTTCCAGCTGCAACAAAACTTAAGGCAATTGCTGTCTCTCTTTTAATTTTTGTTATTTATTTACATATCCTCCCATGGGCCAGTGTCTATTTTCATTTTCTTGTGTCATTCAAACTAAATCCATAATCTCTTGTTCCTGGACAAGGAGTAAATGTTAAATCACGTTTTAGGCATATGTAGCACTGTGCCACTAATCAGTTCTTAGTCTTGATTTTTTTCTAATTTTGTCCCTCATATGACCTAATTAAGCAGTGTGCAGTTTCTTTTGTAAGGCTTGGGACCAACCATTCTTGGACTTAAATTATAAAATTTCTTTCATTTTCCTTTTCTAGGTTGTGCTATGTATTTCTGTTGATGTATCTAAAGACTATGAACAGGTGGAGAATGTTCTAAAACAGGTGAGGCAACTGTTTTACCTGTGTGTGTGTGTGTGTGTGTGTGTGTGTGTGTATACATGTGTGTGTATATATATATATAAATGTCATTTCTGTGTGATGTGTTCCAAGTGGTAACATAACTTATAATGGCACTGTACTATATGAATGCTTTTTCCTGCTAGAGAGCTTAACTTCTGTCCTCTTGCAGGCTCAGGAAAAGCTGGGGCCAGTTGACCTGCTTGTAAACTGTGCAGGAACATCAGTTACAGGAAAATTTGAGGATATTGAAGTGAATTCTTTTGAAGTGAGTGATCATGCTTTATTTCATTGCAAGTAATTAGTCATTCCCCTGTTATAAGGAATAGATTATTTTACTGTATCTTTCCAGACTGTATAAGTAGCCATATATTTCATTAGTGATGGTTTTTGTATGCATTTATAGATTTGCAAGGATTGCAACTTATTTTTTTTAACCTGATTATTGGTCCATGGATAGTTCAGAACAGTGAATTTTGCACCTGGGATAGGGAAGGACCTCAAGATGGCAAGGAAGGTTGATATGTGCTTTTATTTATTCAGTGAAAGACACTGAATTTCATATGGTCTCTTTTTTTCCTGGTGAAGATGTGTGGGTCTTTTTTCCCGTATTTTGAATCTGTTTAAGAGGAATCCATCTTGCCAGCATTCAACTCTGAGGTGCACAAATTGTTAGTAACTTTATGCAGCTTGATGGGAAGGAAAAAAAAAAAAAAAAAAAAAAACCAAAAAACAACACAAAAACAAACAATAAAACAACAATAAAGCCCAAACCAAAATGTATATTTAAAAAAACAAAAACATCCTCTCTTCTTTTTGGTTACTTTGATTCCCACCTCATCACTGAGCCACGTGAAAATGCTAATTAGGCTTGATACTAAATAGGCATAATATTATAGTAAGTGTAACAGTAAGTGTAAATAATCTGTTTTGTTGTTTGTACAGGCCACCAGTTGTGTTTTAGGTCACAGAATCACAGAATTGTAGGGGTTGGAAGGGTCTTCCAGAGATCATCAAGTCCAACCTCCCTGCCAAAGCAAGTTCCCTACACCAGATCACACAATCCAGGCAGGTCTTGAACATCTCCAGAGGAGGAGACTCCAGGTCCTCAGGAGAATGAAACAGAAAAATTCATCTTACTTGTCTACAATGAGAGCTTGTGCATATGTACAAGGATTTATTTTTTTCTGCTTCTTTTTTAGGAAGCCCTTTAAACTTTCATTTCAGTATGTTTTTGTACATTGTGTATAAACGCATTGCTTTCTAGACACTGTTCAAGTCAGTTTTTTGTAATTTACCCTTTTTTCTTTGTGAAGGCCATAGTAATTCACATTATCAGTATCCTGAATGCCATTAACACTTGTATATGCAGTGCATTTTCTTTTTTATCTTATGGTGAGATTCTTAGCTATAGAATGGTTTATGAAACTAATACAGGAGAAAACAATTGTTTACTTTGCTAGCTGATAGAAATAGAAATCTAGTGGAGTTTGATGTTAAAGCAAGCCTCAGTAGGGATTTTTGAGAAATAATACTAAGCATCTGAAGAATTCTGAATCTGTGACTCAGATACCATTTCAATATCCTTTTTTACAGAGATTAATGGCAGTCAATTATCTGGGTAGTGTTTACCCGAGTCGTGCAGTGATCTCTACCATGAAAGAACGGCGGATGGGAAGGATTGTGTTTGTATCATCTCAGGCTGGGCAGTTGGGCCTTTTTGGTTATACAGCCTATTCTCCAACCAAGTTTGCTCTTCGAGGATTGGCCGAAGCCCTGCAAATGGAGGTGTGTGAAATGATTGAAGTATTCTTGCTTGTAAACAAGAACATATATTTTCACTAGCTGCTAAGCACGTTTTTATTTCAGTAGTCTTGTGCAGCTCTGCTGATACCTGTTGCGTTGATGCTTCTTTGGGAGCAGTACAATCATATTGCTCTGTGCAGGACTGTGGAAACTAAGCTTTCAATTGCACAAGAGAGAAGAAACTTAGTTTGTTTCTAGAACTGAAGATGACCGCATACGAACTTATATGTTCTATTTATCTTATGTCTAAATATCTTCTATTTTAATGAAAGGGACTTGAATTTTAAGCAGAATGGTATTGAAGATCTCATGGTTATGTGAGGGGTTGGTGTGTAGGCCTGTGATTCCCAAGCAGATTGCAAGGCAATGCTAAATGAATGGTATGTGAGCCATATGAGACAGTAAAACTTGTAAGCTTGAATTAATAACCAAATCCTCTGTTCGAAGTGGTTCTCTCTTCTAGACATTGGTATATGTGAGCTTTATATATTGCAGTGTTCTAAGCCTACGTTTAAGTTGAGACAAAAAGCGAAAACAACACTGTTTTCATTATTTGATAAGATGAGGCTTGGAAGCATGTCACTGCAGTAAGACAGGTAAAATTGATTGGGAAGTGATTTTCCTTAATCTGTTTGGTTCTAGACCTTGCATGATTACTGTTGTTTTCCTTCAGTGTAGTGGATGGTGTTGGTCAGGATTACAGGGTTGTGGCCTGCAGAGCAGTGAGACTGCTGAGTCTGTCTTCAAACTGGTGATATATTTTTTTGTTGAATTCTTAAAGGTGTTTACCAAACAAGGCAACACAACCATATCTTTAAAATCTGTGTTTTCTTCCCCATTTGACAAAGCTCCGAGTCTTACAGGTGTTCAGCGCGTGGATGATTTATCACCACAAGCAATCTGAAGAAATAAAGCAAGCGTGAATTTAAGAGAAATTAACAAAATTATTACTGACAGCCTTTACATTTCTCTCATAAGATAACACTTCTTTTTTTGTGAACTGCAGGTCAAGCCTTATAATATCTATGTAACAGTGGCCTATCCTCCAGATACTGACACACCAGGCTTTGCAGAAGAAAGTAAAACAAAGGTAAATCATCCTTCAGCAACACTGTAATGGTTATAAAGGTAAATGGTTGAAAAGGTATACTTTATAATAAACAGTGCATTTCAGGTATCATTCACTTCTGTAGTACTTCTCGAAACAGTGCATATTAAAATGTTTAAAATGATCAAACACTTTGGTTTTTATCAACTTCACTGTCCAGTGTAGTTTACTCTGGCTTTAAATGGAAGAACTGCTTAACTTTAATAGCTGAAACACTAATAAGCTTTTCTGCATGCAATCTGAATGTTGCAAAATAGCAAACTAAAGCCACTGTAACTTGTTTTGATATAAAAGCTTGATGAGCCACAATAGTGTACCTTTTTTTCACCTTTTGATATTGTGCTGTTAGGATGGTCCTGGCAGATGAAAGGAAAACTCCAGTTCTTCACTGAGATGTGCAAACCAACTGTTCTATGTGAATACGTGTTAGGGCACAATTTTATATGCAAGAACAACCACTATTAACGTAGAAAGGAAGCTTTGTCATTCTGTTTGGCACTACTGCTTTTTCAGAGAGGTGTATCAGTGGTTGCCTTTTTCATTTAGCTTAGCTTAAAGCAGGTTTTGACCTTCAGAAATTTAGTTGCTTCTCATCACTTGGCAAATTCCTGTGCATAAAATGGAATATCAAAAAAGGGTGCTGGCAGTGCTACTTTTGAGCCCCTGTTTACGCTGATGTGTCTGCTAACCATGCAGTGGTATCTGTAGATTAGCCACGTTTAAGATGCTTCATCTAATATAATGTGTAATAGGAAATTGAGGTTAAGTTTTGCTTTGTCTTTCACCCTTTCTGTAGGAATCAGTAGGGACTGTGTAACACAATTCTTTGTAACTTCTTGGTAATAGATCTTCTGTATTAAACATACTTCCACACATCCACATAAAGAATTACACATCTGCAGATACTTGTGTAGTTTGCACATTCTTTGTCTTTTCTTCATAATAGCCTGCTGCGGGGAAATATACTCTCCAGCAAAACGTTCTGTTGATCTCAGATTTCTGTTTAAGGGGAATCAGTGATGTGTATATATATATGACTTTTTTTATATCAAAAAGGCATTGTCTTTTAAACACGTTTATGCATCGTTTTAGCACACATGAAGTCTTTTTGTTGTGTGACTACCTTGATACCTTAAATCACTGCAATATTCTGTCATTTAACAGTTCAGAATGTCATTCATTTTGGTTGCATTTATTTAGTACTGCTGAGTTTAGAACATCTGTTTCTGTGGTTTGCATCTCATTAAGGCTAAGCTGTTTTATTCTGTAATCATCGCTCATAGTTAGTTTAAGCAAAAAAGTCAGCTGCAAGGATGCTTCTTCCTTGTGTTTAATCACTAAGCTCTTTTTCTGAGATAACTGCGTGACAAATCGTAACAGTGCTTTGACTGGCTAATCAGATGGAGTATTTGATGGTTGAGCTCTGCCTGCCTTTTTCTCAGCATGTCATTAACTTTAGTGAGACGCCCTCGAATAGCTGCTGATTTTTCCAAAACTTCAAGTACTGTAGTGGATTTTCGACATCTGTATCTCTCGTGGATTTTGTCGACACTGGCCAGTGAATTAAACTTTGCATGGGTTATGAAATGGAGATGTAGTGACACAGGCCATACCACCGTAGGAAAGCAGGTGAAAGGTGTTTGTGTGTGATTTCCTCTGCCAAAGACACTGACTTTTTTTTTTTTTTTTTTCTCAATACATGTTTAAAAAATAAACCAGTGAGCCTGGTCAGCACATGGGGATTCACAATTTCACAGATACTAAAGATTGAAATTGAGAGAGAAGCCTGTAATTTTCTTCCCTAGAAGTGTGGGATTTTCAAGAAGTGTGTGTGTTTCAAAGGATTAATCTTAAAATGCTTTATGGATACTAAGTATTTGACTAAGTTTGAATGCTTCCATTCAACTTCATTAAATCTAATTCAATTCTTCTCTGTAACAAATTACTTGTAACCACTCTTCTATTCCTAATTTAGCGCAGTTTGTTCTTTATCAACAGAACCATTTATCTTCATATATTTATCATTCAAACAGCTTGCCATGCATTTAGCTCCAGCATTATAGAAGCAAATAAATGACAAACAAGCTTCTGAATACTTCTCAAACCTTTTTACTGCTTGCTCTTAAAACAGATCAGACTTATTTTTGTAAAAGAAATTGTGACTGATCAAATTGCTGTGGCTGCTTTCTTCTAGTAAGGTAAAATGACATAAATGCTCTGAAACACAAAGTGAAATACAGTGTTGGATTTTGGTGGGTATCCTGTGTGGTGTTTGAGAAACAAACAAAAAAAAATTAAGCAAAATCTCACAAAACAAATTCATAAGGCATTTAATTATTTAATTCATTAAAAGAAAAAATGGAGGCATTGAGGAGACATAGCTTAAGCATTTTTCTGCCTTCTGAAAATCAAATACTTGGAAAGAACACCATCTCCTTTTTTGTTGGTAATAAATTCCAAGGGGGAAAGTACTGCCTAGAAGCTGGCAGCTCTCCTTGTAAAACTGCTACTTGTGAAGGTGCTTTTTCTTTTCAGCGGATGTTTTAAGTGACAGAACGGTACCACTTATAAGCAGCACCACCACCTGCACTGAAAGACCCAAAACCAAAATTTGTCCTTCGTGTTTTCTTTCCTGTGTGTTCTGAGTCCAAATTCTAATGACATTTTTCTATTAAAGCCCTTAGAGACAAAGCTCATTTCTGAAACCTCATCTGTTTGCCAAGCGGAACAAGTGGCCAGAGTTATAGTCAAAGATGCCATAGTAAGTAAATCATTTCTTAAAGTATGACCTTCAAAGGAGAGACCAAGATGGCTTGTAATGCTTAAGAGCATGATTGAGCTAAAAATAAGATCAATTTACAAGAAGTGGTGGTCTCTCCTTAGTTTGAGCAGGAAGTTTCTTTCTATTCCTCTTTTGCGGCTGTGCCTACAAATGATTTTGTGCCATCTTTTTGAACTAAAATGTATCCAAAGTTGTCCTTTAGAATAAAAGGCTGCCTTGGGATGATACAATGTCTCAAAAGCAGGTTATGGCTGTGTTTCAAAGCACTGAACTATATTGGCTTTTTATGTATCAAATACCATTTGTCTAACCTCAAAAGCTTCTTTGACAGTCTAATTTTTCTTGAATATGAGCTTAGATCAAAATGATTTTAAAATAAATGGAAGATGTCTAGCCTTTTTGGCTATAAATGTCTAAAGTATCTGATTTATGAGTGATTAGAATACAGTAAGATATTCTTAGTTATAAAGGAGCATTGCATTTTTAGGAATTGTAGAGATTTGTGCTGAAGATTGCCTCTTAACAAAATAAGAAGCAAACAGCAAGGACATTCTGAGGTGGAAATAAAACTGGAATTTAATATCCTTAGAGTACAGCAATTGAATCCTGTCTGTTATTATTTTACAATTCTACATTACAATACTTTTAACAAGGTTTTGAGCAACTTTCACAATAGCTTCACAAATGCAGCAGATAAGTGCAAAGCCACGCCTGGATTTGGGGTGGTGAGTTTCAAAATGCAGTATGTCCTCACGTGGTATTCTGCACTGGTAGTTAAGGACAACCAATCCGGTTTCCAATCGTAAGCATCTGATCTTTTTATTCCGTTCCTTCCAGCGGTGGTCTATTAGTTGAGGTGTGGTCTTTATGCCGTCAAACCCTCAGCTGAGAGACTAAAATTGAAACTAAAAGGTCGTTCTTGGACTGTAGGAACTCAGTTCTCTCAGGTGTGTGTTGGGTAGTACTTCACTCACATATCATCTCCTCTACTGCTCTAAATAGATAATTGTGATTCAGGAACACCCCTCCACTCCCCTTTCACTTCTGCGCTCCACAGTCATCGTGCATTGTGTCAGGAAGCCTGTTTTCCAGCATAACCTGCTAGGAGAAAAAAATAAATGAAGTGGGAGAAGCCCAGGAGTCAGAGTTACAGAGTTGCAGTCTTTTCTGATGAGTAGTCCCCCCCAAAAAAAAAAATCCACACCTTTTTCTCCTGGGGAGCCTCCCCTTCTGCTGTTAGTTGAATCTCTTAGTATGCAGTGTATTTGGCAGTTTTGAGGACAGCCAATCAAAGCCGTTGATATAAGTGAAGGTGAACCTTTTGCACAGTGTTTGAAGGACACCTCCTCCAATAAGTCTCACACAGTAGTAACCTGATTTGGGGAAAAAAAAAAAAAGTTTAGCAGTATTTTATTCTTTGAGTACAGCAGTGATTGGTGATCTGACAGAAATAGGGTGTAATTCTCTCTGAAACGTGTTCACAGGGAGAATGTTGTGCATTTTCTCTATCAGTAGGCATAGTTCAAGAAGAAACATAGAGCCTTTCTAGCATACAAAGAAATTCTTAGAAATCTATCACACCTCTATTTTTAGGGAGTGTCTTCCAGAATGTTGCTGTATGGTACAAAATACTTCTTAAAACATAGGCTCTTAATTGTGGTCATATTTTTTACATTGAGGTATTCATTCATAGTGACATGAAATTAAGTATGATTATTATAAATAGCTGTAAAATTAAGGCATGTCATGTTTTGCCACAACTGGGTAAATTACATTTTCCTTAATTACTGTTTTCCTTCCATTCAGCAAGGGAACTTTAACAGCTTTGTTGGATCAGATGGTTACATGCTATCAATATTGACAAGTGGAATGTCACCAGTCACTTCTATCACTGAAGGTCTTCAGCAGGTAAGGTTTGCAAAGGCCTCATAGTCACAATTCCTTGTAGTTTAAAATATGTAGAACGTTATGCAAACATTGATTATTTTTTCATCAAGTAGCTGTCAATACCGTGGAGGCTTGGATTTAGGAAACTGGAGCAATGTTCTTGAGCTGAAGCAGCAATGTGGCAAGAAAGCAGAGATAACTACACACTGCTCAGTCCCGGACTGGAACATAGTTAAGAATGTCTTCATATGTTTTTTTTTTTCTTGATTACATTACCTGTATGGAACTTTTACTTCATGAGTAAATAACGCGCTACAATCCAGGATCATAAGTGAATTGAAAGATGTTTCTCTGTTTCCAGGTTGTTTGCATGGGCATTTTTCGCATCATTGGCCTCTTTTACCTAGGAAGCTTTGACAGCATAGTTCGACGCTGCATGATGCAAAGAGAAAAATCTGAAAACACAGATAAGACTGAATAATCTTGAATTGAATTGAAAGAAGAATGTCAAACAGTCCTGGACAGCTTGCTGCTCAAGTGGGACTCAGCTTCTCTGTTGAAGGATGTAGACTGAAGGTACTTGGTTATGTGATAGATGAGTCCTCTCAAAAGCAATGAAAGAAAACAGAAGCTTAACTCCAGAAAATGCCAAGCTATGCAAAAGAGAGATTGAGGATTAGCTTTTTTTTTTTTTTTTTCCTTTGGTGATTTGAGCTGGAGAGAATTTGGGAACATGTAAGTCATCTGTAGGGTAGAACGTGAGAATGGACCATGTGTGGTAATTCTGGACAAATGCTTAAGTTTTCTCACTTTGGTGCTTATGTGGAAAAAAAATAACTATACCATGACAGACTGGGCTGAAGTAGATTAAAGTCCCCTGAACAAGTCAGTACTCTTGCTAATGTTTTGGGACTGTTTTTAATTTGGAATGTTAACTTTTCCTTTGATGGCCAATCTACAGATATTTCAGTCAAAGACAGCTTTCTTTATTCTGTTCAGCACACACTTGTGGAAACCTCAAGATGACAGATGCATTTTTTTTTTTGGTTAATCTAAGGTTTCTCAGTCTGGGAGTAATTAAAAAGTATGACTTAATGTATGCATACTTTCTAAAGGGAGATGAAGAACCCATTCCTACAGAGAAATGCTAGGAGGTGTAACTGGCCCTTGAAGTATGCTGTGAACAAAAAAAAAAATCAAACCATTTTCAAGAGTGATTATGTCTTTCAACATTTTAAATCATTGGAAAAGTATTTGTCAAAGTTGTACACTCTTCTTATCTGCCAGTTTTTGCTCTGGAAGGGGAAGTAGCTTCATGCTACTGTCATGCACATTATTTTTCAAAGCCACAAATGATGAGCCACGCCAGTAGTTGATGATAGACTCGGACACTGGGCTCTTAAGGTAGCAGGAATGTAGCTTTTGGGACAGGGGACAGGGAGGAGAATCAGAATGGTATCTGTGCTTAATTTGTTTGTTACACAGAAAAACTTCTAACACAACAAGAAATTATTTAAATTCCCTCCTCTGTCCCTCTCCTCATTTGCTTGATTTACATTATATATGAATCAAGACTGCTCCATAACTGCTTCAGAATACACAGAACACAATGTTTTTTTTCTAATAAATTGCAAGTTTAACACTGGAAAAGCTTGATGCATAACAGTGATGTTTTAAGGGTGCACTATATACACTGTTTATTTAATGGACCACTATAGCAAGTGCCTTGTGAGCTTTTTTTCCCAAAAGCTGTGTATTTTGTATTTATTAGCGCCAGTGTGTTGTAAATGTCAGATCTGCCGTTTTCAGTCAGTACTCTGAACCTAAAACTACTGTTAAGACTTGGCGTTTTCACTTCCTTGAAAGTAGTATTTAAGAGCAAAGCAAGCAAAATTGATTGTTTTTAAGATGTTCTGTATACCTATTTAAGAACAGGTATTCAATTAAGCTGAGATGAGAAAGAATAGGTGGTTAACAGGGGAAAGTCTTAGAAATGTAACTTGGTTGTTCTCCCTCTGATTTCAGTTGATCACTTCAAAAACTTTTGTTCACGTAGGCTAAACTTGCTTTAATGTCTGTTTTACAAATGTATTTGGAGGAGTCACACTGGTGCTCTCATTCACAGTGGTTAGAATTTCATTGGATTGCAAACGTTAAGGCATTGCAGAATACTTCCTAAAGCCTGTGTTTTAGGTCCTGCCTCTTGATTTTCTTTAGATATGTAAAGTTGTGCATGCCTATATTATACAATTAATTTTGAGAGTACACTATATTCCTGCATTTTTTAGTCAGCTGGGCATCAGTGCAGAGAAATCTAGTCTGCATTTGTGTTTTCTGTGCTGCTTAATGTGAATGACACATAGTGGAGCATTTCTCATACATTGTCAATATTGCCATGTTTCTTAAAGCAACATAGCAATGCTATTTGGACCCAGTTATCTACGTTAGTTGTTATCCTGGTGCAAAAATCAAACATTCCTTTGATCATTTGCAAAATGATACCAAAGTGGGTGAATTGGTTATGCGGTAGTTTGGAAGACATTTGCTTCTGCAAATGACTTTAGAGCAACACAAGCTTTGAAGGTCAAGTCTTGAAACCAATAAGACTTCAGATACTTGAATTTTATAGGATCTTCAACTTGGGATATTAAAAGGCTTGCATTTAAGAAATAATTCAGAAGATTAGAGTGCACGTACTCTGATAACTGGGCCTCTTAAGAATATTTCGGGTTGGGCATCTTAAATCACCAGTCACTTTTCTGAAAATCTTGACTGAAGAATGCTCCAAATAATGACTGATTGTAGTTCAGCAGGACTGTTTGTGAAGAGGAATACTGGGTGAAAGTTAGGGCCCTGAGGTAAAGGTGCTTCAGTTCACACCTGTTTTTCCATATTGCAAGAAGTTGTATTGGCTGTAAAATTGTAGGTTGCATCCCCTCAGCAATTCTAGAAATGTGAAGCAGGCAAACTTTGAAAAGAAACAAGAATAATCTTTCTGAATGTTCCAGCTTCTGTTGTTGCACATTCGTATGGTTCATTTTAACTGATAAACTTTCCAGCTGTTTTACTGTCAAAATGGAGTATGTTGTCAAATGCAGCAGCCTTTAATGTAAACTTTTTCTTATCTCCGTTCTAAATCTACGATCATACTCATTTTAAGGTCCAATATTAAGTGAAGGAGATGCCTTGTAATCTTGTGGAATAATGTTTGAGTAAAAAATACATATATATATATATATATATATTTTTTTTTTTTTTTGCTACTTTAAATGTTACAGAACCTCTGCATCGAAGCATTTTAGCAGTGTATTAAATCCACGAGGAACTTCAAATAGATGCAACTACCATTTTGTAAAGCTGTCAGTAATTTAATCACTTGTGCCATATCAGGCAGTGTCTTGTCTCTTGTTTTCCTGGTCAGTCTTTAAGAGTCACTTTGGACTTTGATAGTCTTCTCTATTCTGTGTAGTTTCTAATGACCGTCTGCTTTAAACACAGATTTATTATAACTTTACCAAGGTGTTCATGTGCAATTTAAATGGATTTAATATTTTACTAAGACAAAAGATATAGGTAAACTTTATTTGCTGTGAAAAACTTGAGGCACTTTTAAGTGGTAAAAATACATAGTACCATTTGTTTAAAAAAAAAAAAATAAAAATTGTGCTTATTGCTTCATCTATTTTGTGCCAGAACTGTAAACTAGTTTTCAGATTTTATATTTCTCAAAATAAACGGAGGATCAACAAAACGTGTAGCTCTGAAGTTCTTTGAAGGGATGAAGAGCAGTAGGTGCCTTCATTTGCAAGGCTTGGCGGTTTTCTTTTTTTAATCTGGGATTAATTCAGCAGGATCCTGTTAATTTGGTAGAAGAGCGGGGGGGCAATACATCTCCCCTTTGCTTTGGCAGCCCAGGCAGAGGAGTGCAGCAAATGGGGGAAGATGTACGGCGCTCCATTCAGTAGTGTGTCATCAAACATAGGTATGACACTAAATTGATATTGGAAAGTGGCATTAAATTGATAAGATCTGCTTTTATTGTAGGATTGCTTCCAGAACTTAACTAGTACTTGTGCTTTCTGGAAGCGACCGTGAATTCTGATGAGCCAAGCGGTGCTCGTTCTTTCTAGTGGGAAAGAACAGGAATGAACAAGGTTAGGGTGGCTGTCTTTCTGAGACACAGTTGAACATGATCCTGTATATAAAATTATTGTACTATCTTTCAGCTTGAGAGAAAGGCTAACTCCAAGATAATACTAGTCATGGGGAAATACCCTGAAGATGGCTACTGTCAAATCCAGGATCACAGAAATTCAGTCTTTCAGAAAGCCATTCTTGCTGATTTATCCTCCAAAATCAATAATGGGTAAAGGGAGGTATGCTATGTAAAATGTTTTAAAGCTGAGGGGGCCTAAGGAGCTGAGGGTGTTCGTTAGGTAATGAGAAGTTTTGTAACAGGAGGCAGCCATATTGCATTGGGAGCTGCTGATGTTTTTCCTTTTCAGTAGAATTAGCAGGCAAAGTAGATTGCTCTTCATTCCTGTAGGCGTTTTTTGAAACAAAAATACATAGCATTTTTTAAAAATTAAATAAAACAGCAATCAAAAACTGATTTCAGCTAAGAGGCTAAACTACCTGGGTAGGGTTGTTTTTTGGTTTGCTTTTACACAGGGATAGTACCAGGCACACTCAAGTAGGTGGGTGTCCTTCCAGAGCTGACAGCAAAACCTTCAGTCGCTTGCTTTCCTCTGTCACTTGGGGGAGACTCTCATGAGACCAGAACCTTTTAAATGAGGTGTCTCCTTTGGAGCCACACCTCCCATCCTCTTTTATTTCCTTGCTTTTCAACCCCAATGCCCTAAAGTGGTGAAAGAAGACTTTGGTCATCTGCATGTTGTGGGCTGGGAGGAGGTGAAATAATGCTATTTGCTTCTTGAACAGAAGCTTGCACAGAAATAAAGTGGTGGTGTTTTTTTAATCCAAATATTGCTTGTCAGAGTTGAAAGGGAAAAAGAAGAGCAAAAGCTAGCTTGGGAAGTCTTGTTTTTGGTGGAATCCTGAATGAGGATTATAGCATCAAACCTGCTTCATGGTGCAGTGCCACCAAGGCAGTCTGAGATTTTATTTTTCAAAGCTGAAAACAAGATTGTTTTCAGCTGAGGGGGAAATCCCCAAGTTAATTTTAAACCTTTTGAGTTAGTTCTATCTAGGAGCGCATTCTGTGCTGCTAGAGAAATATAAATAAATGCAAGGGGGTAAAACAAAATGCCTAATACTATCATGCTACCAAGCACTGAGAAGCAATTTCTTTGACCAAAAGTAAGGAGTTAAATCTGTAAAGATAACAGCTGTAAACAGTGTTTAACAACAAGTCTCAAAAGAAATGGAAATGCTTTAGGCAGCTTGCAGTTTACTTGTTAGGGAAATATGCTTTTTAAAGCTGATTCGAAGAAAGTAACGAAAATGAGGTGAGTTGGTCTTTTTTTTTTTTTTCTTTTCCAAGATATTTCATCAAATAATCAATTCTTTGTTTGTTTGTTTAAGCTTTGAGAAAATTGTAAAAGTAATTAAAAAGTTAATGAGATGAAAGTTCCCATTTGTCCGGCACGTTCTTCTCATTTCCCAAACCTTTGTGCTGAAACGGAGAAATGCTTCTACTGTTTTGACTGGGCAAATTGCTTTTTGATTCTCTTTCCATAGTGGAAAGAGAAGTGGCAAGAATGTTTTTGGCAGTTTGCACCAGGTGGGGGGATGGCTCTGATACTGTTAAGACAAGACCCTGCTGCTGTGTATGAAGGGCAGGTGTCAAGGAGGAGGTTTTCCACAGGTGCTCATGGTGCCTGTCAGCTTGAGGTGGGCGCAGCCATTCTGTCTCCCTCTTGCCTTTAATCTTGAAGGAAGGGTGGCTGAGGGATAAGTACAGTAAAAGGAGCTGAAAGTCAGGAGCTGTTTGCTATTTGGATCTGCTGGATGCTATCTAAGCGTCTCGTGCTGCTGCCCTTCCTGGAAAGCACAATTAAGGCTCCATGAAGTAAACCCTAATTGTAGGTTGAGCAGGCTTCAAACTTCTTACAGTAGCATTCTGTGCTTTGCAAGCACTTCAGGCAAGAAGGATCCACTCCACACCTGTAGCATTTGTAAGACCGGGAGGATGAAAGACAATCTCCTGTTTCAGGAATGTGCTCTGAAGAAGTGCTCATTTGTTCCAGTTAACCTGCCCCTGTCCTGGTTAAGAATGAGGAAAACACATCTAAGTTCTGTCAATGCTTTTTTTTTTTTTTTTTTTTTTTTGTATACTTTTTTCAGAAAGCATTTTATACTGTAAATCCTGGCTGCTGCTGGCTGATGCTGTTAAGGCAACACTTGGAGCCAAATAGATGAGGCATCAGTATAATAAACGGTGTGACACTGAGAGCAGGCAAATGCATGTATGCCAGGCACTAAAAGAGCATTCTTTTCAAGGCATTTTTTTCAGTTTGGTGAAGGTATCATAGGTCTGTGGATGTCATGGTCTTGTGGACAGAAACAAATATGTGAGGTCGCGTACATTAGTCAATAGATACTTTGGTCAATAACTACTTTTAGTCAGGGCAGGTTTGTGTGGTAGAACAAGCAGTTCTTGCAAGCACAAGGGCATGCAGAGTGAACAGGCTGGCATGAGGAGAAGCACTGAATGCCTTGAACAGAGCACAGGTGAGGCTGTGGGTGGCACAGGTACCACTGGTAGCATTTACGGTGCCCCTGACTGTGAGGAGCAGCCCAGTGGTTTTCATAGGTGCAGACTGCTTGTGAATTCCAAGTGGGCTTTACTGGGAGAAAGACATATTTAAGCTGTGCTAGAACACCATGGAGCAAAGGACCTCTCTGTTTGTCTTCATTGTATTTACCTTTATCACACTGAATTCTACTTTTAGAGGGGTTACTCAGATATATATCTTTTTCTTCCGTAAGTTATCATCTGTCTGTGAATAGAAAGTCTGCAGATTCACAGTGGGAGATGTTGCAGTGTCCTTATTCATGTTGAGTCCTGTCATAGAGCAATGTATCACCCCATTCATCCCCATGACATGCATCCTGGGCAGTCCTTTCAGCATTTGCTCGCTTCTCTGCAACTTGGTTGCCCACAAGCAAAGGGAATAAGAGGTGGCAGGTTACCAGGAACTGGAGCTGCTGCTCAGGTCCTGCTGATGTTATACGAGCATGACGGGAAAAGGTGTCCTCTTGCAGATGGTCAGGCAATGGCCCTGCCATTAAGAAATTGGCCATTAAGAAATCATGGAATTGAGTTGGAAGAGACCCTTAAAGGCCATCTAGTCCAGCTCCTCTGCAATGAACAGGAACGCCTACAGTGAGTCAGGTTGCTCAGAGCCCCATCCAGCCTGACCTTGAGTGTCTCCAGAGACCATCTACCACCCCTCTGGGCAACATGTTCTTATGCTTCACCACTCTTCACAATAAGAGCTTTCCTTTTTACAGTCCTTAGATGTATTTCTGGGAGGCTCTCAGGGAACAGCACAGCTTTGCAGGATCCTGCCCAAGTGCAGGTAAGAAAGGTACCTCACCATTGCTCTGCCCTGGCTGAGGCCTGGTGTGGGTGCTCCTGCCTCTGGGATACCTAAAAACACAGCAGTGATTCCCTGACTGACTTTATGTATTTGTTCCACTTTCCTTGTTAAATCCTGAGCCTCTCATGATGATTTACTCTGCGTACTGTCTTTGGCTGTAGTTTTGCTGTAGTTTTGCTGTTGCTTTATCCAGCAGACAGACAAGGTAAGAGTCAGCACGATAATGCAAACCTGTGAGACTTTAGTGGATGCTCATGGCCCAGTCTGGTGGCATTGTCAGTGCTTTTAAGGCAGGTCAGATGCAACCCGTTTACCACATGAAGAACAAAAGGACTTGCAATGTACATCATCATGTTTTGCTACTTTTTTTTACAGAGTCCACTTTGTCATTCTTCAAGGCACAGTTTGTTTCCCATGACTCATCCAACTGCTTCAAGTAAGCAGTTCCTAGGGTTTTCTCTTGAGGCAGTCTCAGCTGTGTTTGGCATTAGCAAACTGTGACGGCTATTTTCTCATTAGCCCTCTCACAAGGCCGGGATCTGTCACTGCCAGAGGGAAGTGCTGAGCCAGTGAGGACAAAGCATCCTTACTCAATCTATTCCAAAGGGAGTATCTGTCTGGTGAAGTTTGCTGTACCCGTGCTTGGGTGGGCCGCAGCCTTCGGCCCGGGAAGGAACGGGGGGGGGGAGGCGAGCGGCGGCCGCTGGGGGGCAACAGCAGCGCACGGGCCCCAGCGGAGCCGCGGAGCACCCGGCACCCGCGGGGGGAGAAGGGAAGCAGGAGGTGCAGGCGCTGCCCCGGTGCGCAGGGCCCGGCCTGGCGCCCGGGGAGCTGCGCCGTGGTTCGGAGAGGGGGTAGCCATCCCCGTCGCCTTCAGGCAGGCTTTAAGAGCCAAACGGGTGGCCTTCATCGCACTCCTCCGCCCGACTGCTCTCCCCACCAGAAGCGCAGAGAGGTGCTCAGTACCTCCGTTCCCGTCCCACTCGGTGCCGCCCGCGGCTCCGCCGCCCGGTTTCCCGCTGCGGGAGGGGGCTGCTCGGGGTGCTGCTGGCGGCCGCCCCGCGCCGCGATGGAGGCGGGCCCTGGCCTTTTCTTTTCTTTTCTTTTCCTTTTTTTTTTTTTTTTTTTTTTTTGAACACCCTCCCTGCTTCCCCCCTCCCCATTTCCCCCTTTTCTTGAATGAAGCGTGAGGCGGAGCTCTAGGAAACCGCCGCGCCCGGCTGCGCCGCGCGGGGCCGGAGCCTCCCCCTCGGGCTCCGCTCCTCCCCGCCTCTCCCCGCCCCCGCTCCGCTCCCCCCCGCAGCCGCCGCCGCCGCCGCCGGGAGCTCCCGCCCGCGCCCGCCGCCGCCGCTCGGAGCCGCCGCCCGGAGCCGCCGCCGGCAGCAGCAGCGCGGAGCGCCCGGAGGAGCCGCCCGGAGGCGGCGGTGCGCGGGGCTTCGCGGGCGGCGGGCGGGCAGCGGCCGCGGTCCCCACCGGCGCAGCGGTGGCAGCGCAGCCGGCCCTGCTCGGCGGTACAAAGCTGCTTGGGAAATGGCACCGCTGCCCGGAGCCGCAGTCGGAAGCGATCTGCCTTTTAATTTTGATTATTTTTTAAGCGGGCTCTTCTCGGTGAAAAACAATTAATTTCTTAAATATATCTCTATTTTTTTGTATTTTTTTTTTTTTTTTTTAATGTGTGTGCGTGTGCGTGCGTGCGTGTTGGAAGCGCTGGGCTCCCGCGATCAGGGTCTGAATGAAACTACGTAAATGCAGCTGTCGGTGCGTCGCGCTGGAGGGACGAGCGGAGCGCTTCGGCCGCAGCCTGCCTTCAGATGCGCCCCATCTGCTCTCCAGGATCTGCCGTCGCCGCGGGGCCGTTCGCCCGGCTGGGTTGCGGGCCGGGGATCGCTGAGCTCTGACAGATCGCCGGAGATGCCCGGGGAAAAACACTGGGAAGCGTGCTGACCGCCTCTGGGTCCCGTCCCCATCCCCGCGGTGACCCGAAGCATCAAAGCGTCGCGTTCCTGAAGACTTGGGATGTTTGGGTTTTTGTGTCGCTGTTGGTTTTTTGGTGTTTTTTTTTTTTTTGCGGAGGAAACTTGACAGAGGAACATATTTATAGCCCCGAGTAAGTACTTTTCAGAGGAAATTTAGTTTGTGTAACTTAACAGAGCGGTGCCGAGGTTCCCGTGTCGGCGTTGAGACGGAGCGCGCCCGCCTGCTCCTTTGTGTCCGCGGGATCTCAGCACAGGGGAACATGCACCTGGTTCCCGGCAGGCGTAACACCCTCTAACATGTATTCCGACAGCCAGGAGGAAGCGTTGCTCAAGTAGATTTATAATAAGTAATAAACGTGCGTCTGGAAGTAAAGCGTTCGCCGTGTTTTAGTCTGTATTTATGCCGTGCATCTCCATCTGAGGAGGCAACGCCGAGAAGACGCGCATCGCTCTGAGAGCCCCCCGCCTCGCCATGAATGAAACCGTGCCCCACACCTTAACTGGATTATAATTGTTGCTGTTCTTAATTTTATTACCGTTGGCTGCTTTACTTTTGGGGGTTCGTCCCACTCCTCTCCTTCCTCTCCCCCTCCCACTCGCTGCTTCCCCTCGGAAACCATGGCTCACCCCGGGAGAAGAGGCTACGACAACCGCGAGATAGTGCTGAAGTACATCCACTATAAACTCTCGCAGCGGGGCTACGACTGGGCCGCCGGCGAGGACAGGCCGCCCGTGCCCCCGGCCCTGGCTCCCACTGCTGCTCCCGCTGCGGTGGCTGCTACTGCAGCCTCCTCCCACCACCGCCCCGAGCCCCCCGGCTCGGCTGCTGCTAGTGAGGTGCCCCCGGCTGAAGGGCTGCGCCCCGCACCTCCCGGCGTCCACCTCGCCCTGCGCCAGGCCGGGGACGAGTTCTCACGCCGCTACCAGAGGGACTTTGCCCAGATGTCGGGCCAGCTGCACCTGACGCCCTTCACGGCCCACGGCCGCTTCGTGGCCGTGGTGGAGGAGCTGTTCCGTGATGGGGTCAACTGGGGCCGGATTGTCGCCT